CAAAAAAAGCAAGCAAAAACCCATTTGGATGTTGGTTTACATAAATAGGACTTGAGGACACATAACAATAAGAAGACATTGTTCAAAAGACCCAAGATGAGCCAATTTGCCTCTTGAAGAAGTGATGTTGGAGATACAGTCCTCTATAACATTCTTGCCAGTACCACAGAATCAGATCTAACCTTGGGAAATTCCACTCTATTGGTTTTCCTTACTGATTGTAAATAGTGTAGACCACATTGACACTACAGTATAGTTTCTCTAAGAATATAGACAATGACACTGGTGGTTTTTTCCCCCTTCAGATAATTTAAAAATAAAAACTATGCCTCTTTGGTTGTTGCTGAAAAGGCAAGCTGCATAATAAGCAGAGCTTCACATATGCTTTTTACAGCACCAAAGAACTATGACGGTCGACACAAGATCCTTTTCATGGTCAATTCACCACGCATTCTGGAGACCTTGGGGCTGCAATTATTTCATTTCCTTCCTTGCAAATGCAATTTCCACTTAGTTTACTAGAATAAAAGGTAGATAAAAAGGTAGTAACGGTAGCAGAATCTCCTGATTAACATTATTCATTCAAATTTGTGGAAATCCATAGATGAACAATGCTGTAGGAGAAAAATATAGCAGTCCTCATCTCTGAACTACACTGCCTTTTTGTCTCTTACTTTGCTGTTAAAAAAAATCATGATCTCAAATAAAAAAATAAAAGTTATAGGCAATTTTTAAATCTAAATAGGTTTGAAAGAAGATACAAAATACAACTGGAAACAACATTTTTGTTAAGCATACCAGTATAAGCAGAATTTAATCCAACTCAATAACTTTGTTTCTACAAATGCTAAAAGCGCAAATAAGGGAATAAAGCCCTAAAACAGATGTGAATTGAATTTCCACTTCATTTGCTGAGATTTACTCCTTTGAACTATGAGATGCGAACCTTTGAGAAAAGGTGTTCCTTTTCTCCACGGACAGAACAGGAAATCAGAGGTTTAATTAACCATGATTATAACATTTTGCTGATCTGATTTGTCTCACCTATTTCCTTTTTTTCTTTAAGTAATAAAACTGCCTGCCTGACATCCTAGAAAGAGGACAAAATGAAAGCTTCAGAACTGTTTATTTTTTTTAAAAAAAGCTGGGAATTGTTAGAAAACAAACTGACCCTCGACCGGATCTGTCTGAAGTGTGCATTTCTGAAGCAGGATTAAGTCTTTGATGATTAAACAGCACTTTGAAAGAAAATGTACAGTCAAGGAAGGTAATACCTTGGCAAACCAACTGAGGATTTATTCAGCCCAGCAGATGGATGCTTCGAAGTGTCAGATCTCAACACCTCCAGCTAACTCAGCATTCTGTTTTCCACTGATTAAAAACAGTGTCGACTGCTGCATCTCAGGTGGAGAAAATGTACATCTTTTGGGCTGACATATTATGGTTGGCTACCAGATATATGTCACTAGCAGGGCAATCCTATTGTTGAAGTCAGCACAGCCAACATATTGAACACCCTGCTGGGTTCTTGCCAGCAAGGTGGAAGTGAAATAAGGTTTCTCTTTTTTATTAAATTGATTCTCTCCCATTGCTTACCATTTTTTACGCCAGCAACCCGACTCACAGAATGTTTCTATATGTACATACAAGTGTTACAGCAAATTGTAATATGCCTCCCTCCAGGCCCGTTGATTCGGGGGGGGGGGGGGCTGAGTCTGGGTGAAAGAGGGTCTACCCTAGCAAACCTTTTGTATTGTTACCCCAATACTCCCATACATATGGGATATATTGAGAATGGTGATCAGATCATGATATTAATAAACATAACAGTTTAAATAATGTACCAGTAAGGTCTTCTCGCGGACCACCATGAGAATTTCGGGAGGGGGGGGCTGAAGCCCCCATAGCCCCCCCTGGCTACATGCTTGCCTCCTCCCCCCCTCTCTCTATCTATATTGCCATTAATGTATTGGCCCTTTCCTTTCATCTTGTATCAGACTAAGAAGGTAAAGGTTTTCCCCTGACATTAAGTCTAGTTGTATCCAACTCTGGGGGGTGGTGTTCATCTCCATTTCTAAGCCAAAGAGCTGACGTTGTCCATAGACACCTCCAAGGTCATGTGCATGGAGAGCCATTACCTTCCCACATAAGCGGTACCTATTGTTTTACTCACATTTGCATATTTTCGAACTACTAGGTGGGTAGAAACTGGGCCTAACAGCAGGAACTCATCCTGCTCCCCAGATTCGAGCCACCAACCTTTCAGTCAGCAAGTTCAGCAGCTCAGCAGTTTACCCGTTGCACCACCAGGAACTCCCTATCAGACTTTTTTTTGTGTCAGGAGCGAATTGAGAAAATTGCAAGTTGCTTCTGGTGTGAGAGAATTGGCCGTCTGCAAGGACGTTGCCCAGGGGACACCCAGATGTTTTGATGTGTTACCATCCTTGTGGGAGGCTTCTCTTATGTCCCTGCATGGGGAGCTGGAGCTGATAGAGGGAGCTCATCCATGCTCTCCCTGAATTCGAACCTGCAACCTGTCGTTCTTAAGTCCTACCGGCACAGGGTTTAATCCACTGCGCCACCAGACACCTATCAGACTAAGAAGAAGGGCATTAATTACTATACTATGTTCTGGGCTAAATGGAAACATAAAATAATATTTTTCAATACTTTGATATGATTGACTTTATTGCATGACACAGACAAATTGGTATCGCAGCTGGACCATTTGGTGACAGTCCCTACCACACGACACCAAATGCATCCCACTGCTAGTATATTTTCTCCTGGTGATCCACTCCTTGACTACCTAGGAACAAGTAAAACCCATCAATAGCTCCCAATCCTACAATGTTCACATCTTGGTGTTATGAGTTCTTTCTGTGTTAGCATGTAACGTGAAGTGGAGGGGGGGGGGGGAATTCCTCTTCTCCCCCTCTCTATTCCCAAACTGGCTGTTTTTCTTCTCTTTTATATTTTATAGTTACTTTAAAATGCTGGAATGGCACAATTGCACTAAATATAAAACTGAAGGAACAGCAGTAGTCTGGAAGGCGAGGAAGTATGACTGCAGGACCATGAATTGGGAAATAGGTGCGAAATTGAATGTGCGAGAACTGCAATATTCAAGGTGCTCAACCCAGTATGTATTTGTGCAGGAAAGTCTTTTGTCTCTTCTCCACTTCCTACATGATGCCAGACACCTTGGTCATCTGAACGACATGGGCGAAAGGTAATTATTTAGAATGTTGCAATATCTGAATATTTTTCTGCTTCCCTTTCCTACAGTGGCCAGGGCAGCATTTGCACAATTAAAACTTGTGCCCCAGCTACACCCATACCTTGAGAAGCCAGACTTGGCCATGGGGGTCCGTGCTATTGTTACATCTCAAACAGACTACTGCAACACGCTCTACATCGGGCTGCCTCTGGCCCAACTTACCTGTCTGAGTGTATAAGCCATTTAGAACCTTAAGATCTGCTGATGAGGCCCTGCTCTCGGCCCCACCCCCTTCGCAATTGTGACTGGTGGGGACAAGAAACAGGGCCTTCTCAGTGGTGCCCCCCCCAACTATGGAACTCCCTCCTCAGTGGCATTAGATTAGCCCCATCTCTCCTGGTGTTCAGGAACAAGTTAAAGACCTGGCTTTGCACACAGGCATTCGGGGAATAATGTAATATGGAATCTGACTTGAATGTAACATATTGAATAAAGACTATGGACTTGGCACTATGTTTTAATCTGTTTTATTGCATTTATATGTTTTAACTATTTTAGAATTTGAGATGTTTATATTTATTATTTGTATAAATAATTTGGTATTGAATTTTGCCGTAATCTGCAAGCCATGCTGAGTCCTCTTCGGGTTAAAAAGAGCGGATATAAATATAGTAAAAACATATGTACTTGCTTCAGATCACTTTCACCCCAAGTTTATCCAGTAAGACAAGATTTTAAAGACAACTGATTTGTCTGCCAATATATATGTATTTGTTTTCTGTTATCTGGTTATTCTCAATTCTCTCTCTCTCCCCCCCCCCCTCTTTTCTTTCTTTTGATTTTGTGGTTTGAGGCCTCACAAATGGAACACTCTGCATTTGAGGGCAGAATTTAGAAGTGAAGGTTACATGTATTTTTGGGTCTTAAGAAAGTTCATTTTGTTTCCTAAGATTGGCTCTTATCTTTGAAATCATCATCATCATTTTTAAGACACTTTAGCTTGTAAAACATGTTTATACCATTCTCATCTTGTCTTAACAATTGTCTTGTGACATAGGGCTCAGTGAACTAAAATCTTCCTTTGTAAACAGGTTGTTTGCAAAGGATATTTTAGCTTGTTATTTTCGTTTCCAAAAGATAACTGCTGCATTTATATCTAGATAGCTGCAATTCCAGTTCTAAGCAAAATATTATTCAAGAAAAGCAAATGAAAATCAACCGTATGTAACTACAGCCCACCACAATGAGCCAATTCACACTTTATCCAGATGACAAGTAAATACTACAAAGCATGAAAGCAAAACCTGACTTTATAAATACAGAGCCATGAAGTAGACATTTGTCAGTGTTACAGCTTTCTTGTGTTTGACTACTTCATGATTATAGGCATATGAATCTCCTTCAAACTTCATAGCATTCAGTGTGGTTTAATGCCAGGGTACATCCATGCAACAAATATATTTGATGCCAAGTTCAATGTGAATGTTAAGAGATGCTGCCTATCTGGGCTAAAATAACTTTTCCCATGGATGACTGGGGATAATATTTCTGCTATCTTGTTGTTAAATGTTTACTTCTGGGCATAACTGAATTGTGTTCCCTATTAAGCAGCTAGGGTGAAAAGATTAAGTATACCAGATATTGAGCCTATATGTCTTGCAACTAGGGCTTCCATGAATGTTACTGCTCAGTAAGGAAATAGATACAAACGTAAATGTTTTTTTGCAAAAGCGTTTCAACATCACGACATGACAACCCACCAACAAGCATTAGTACTTACTCAATGGCAACCTTGGAACTTGTGCTCTTGATCATTTTAGGACACTGTTCATCTGACCCTGAAGAATTGGAATTGAATTCTGTTACTGTAGCTTTCTTGTTCAAGGCGGACTGTGTTCCATTGGAACCCAACAGTGGCATGGACTTGGACTCCGAAGTAGCCAGGATTCCAGATGGACCTAAAGCCAAAGGAGATCAGTATTTGCATTACTGTATAAATAGCATTTTGCCAAAACTAAAATTAGCCCCAAAGGAATTATACTCTCAGTCCCCCACATTTGTGTATCTGAGTTTTGGAGATTTTATTATTTAAGGATTTTATTCAATTTATGAAATTGTTCTCTTTAAGAATCTCTAGATCCTTTAGTGCAGTGGTTCTCAACCTGTGGGTGCCCAGGTGTTTTGGCCTACAACTCCCAGAAATCCCAGCCGGTTTACCAGCTGTTAGGATTTCTGGGAGTTGAAGGCCAAAAACATCTGGGGACCCCAGATTGAGAACCACTGCTTTAGTGCAACTCTATAGTCAATTTCCACCGGAAGTTGCGTGTTCCTCCAGAGCAGTGGTTCTCAACCTGTGGGTCCTCAGATGTTTTCAGCCTTCAACTCCCAGAAATCTTAACAGCTGGTAAACTGGTTGGGATTTCTGGGAGTTGTAGGCCAAAACACCTGGGCACCCACAGGTTGGGAACTACTGCTCCAGAGTCATGATACAAAGACAGAACTTCTCTGCAAAAAACTCTAAGCCCTCCAGATGAAGTTGACTGTGTTGTGCAAAAGGACCTAGAGATTCCTATAAAGGTGTTCTCTCAGGTAAAAAGGAATACCTTTATTGTTTTTTTTGTTTTTCCACATTCACAGGTATCCTGCATCCCTAAACTTAGCAAATTTGGAGGGCTGACTGTATTCACATATATTTTTATGATTCCCTTGCTTGAGTTATCTGAAGGAGCTTATAAGAAAATAATTAAGGTATTACAATGGTTCTTGCAAGACATGGGAATAAACAATAACCTATTTTATTGTTTTATTATGTTATTGTATAAGCATTTTTTTCTTGATGTTGTATATCTTATATGTATTTTATTTTGTTTTATTTTAATTGTTTGGGTTTGGCCCCATGTTAGCCACCCTGAGTCCCCTTGGGGGGATGGAGGAAGGGTACAAACAAAGTTGTTGTTGATGTTGTTGTTGTTGTTGTTATTATTATTATTATTATTAATTATTTATTCATGTATATGCTACCTGTAAGGTAAAGGTCTCACAAAGTGTATCAACAAAACAATTAAAAATGAAACACAATTGAAACAATCCCATTAATTAATGAAAGCAAAATCAGTCACTTAAAATCAACATGCAACACTGTAATTCAGGAAACCAGATAAAAAACAAACAAATTGACAAAAATGCACTAATTTAATTGATAAATTTTCCAGTCAAGCACCTGATCTTAAAACAGATGGAAACACGAGTTTCAAGCCATTTTAAAAATTAACAAGGCTGATATTGTGCAAGTTGTTATTTAAATTGCCAAATGCCACTGACATTAACACACAGAGTAATGATTCACATTCACATTTTTCAATTTGAGATGTCCTATTTTTAGACATTTGAACTGATTTTTTAAAACTAATATGTTTGTAGTGTTTGAAGTAAAAAATGATTTTTACAATTCTCTAAAATAACAAATATTAATTGAATCAAATCACATGCAACATTAATTAAATTACAAATTAGTTTTAATACTAATGAATTATATCCTATGGAATGACCTGCCAGAAGAGATTCAACAGCAATATAAACTTGTCACTTCTGGCAGACTTAGCCAAATTATTTTTAAATTATGAATTTTGGGAGGAACATGATGGTGGGCTTGCAAGTAGGGTTTCCAAGGCCCACTTTCCAGTTTGGATATTTTTGTAGAGGTGCAGCTGGTTCTTCTCATTATCTGATACCAAACTAAGACTTGAAAGTGCCATCATCGTAGAGGTCATGCTCACTCTCAGCAACACTGTATTAACACGCAGCTTTATGTTATTGTGACTAGGACAGCCAGGTGTTAGTTTATGAACTGACAAGGGAGAAAACATGACAGCTGAAAAGATCACAATGGCTTTAGTGTCAGTGTCTGAACACCGCAGCAGAAGGTTGCCTGTTCTGGCTTCACTGAACAATACTGGCAATTTTAGAGCGCTAATAAAACACACTGGAAAAACAATCAGAGCTCCCCCAGTTAATGAGTTTGCGACATTAAAGGTTTCAAAAGGAAAGCAATTAGGCCTCTGGAACAGTGCTGAGAAAATAACGGAACTAATTTGTAGGATCTGAAAAGATCAAGGTAACTTACTGCTACTGTCTTGATCAGTTGTCACCTTTCTCAGCCGCAGAATTCTTTCCAATTCTGTTTCGTTATTGTCTGTGTCAAGGGATTTTAGACTTCTTGAACTTGTAGATGTACTCAGTGTTTCCTGGTCATAAAAAAGTCAGCAAGGTGATAGTCAAGAACAGCTGCTATAATCATAAAGTAACAATTGCCTTATTGCATGTACTATTATTCAGGTTTGATGATTGCAATGCATTGTGTACCTACATGGGCTGCCTTTGAAGACTATAAGGAACTTCCAGTTGCTTGGAACTGGGCACTCAGAATACAAGGTTATTCCCAATCTCAGATTTTGTGCTTTCAAGCTTGGATTTGGGAATATGAACAATATTCAAAATTTTTCTAACACTTCACAAGAAGGGAATTTTGACTCATCAAGACACTGAAGTAAAAAAAAGTCAGCTCATAATGAGATTTTTTTTTCTTTGCACAAGAGCAAAGGGACAATTTTAAAAGTGTTATGCCAAAAGAGCATTTTTTGTACAGAATACTTTATTTTGCAGGAAAAAAAATCTGTGAAACAATTTCTTTGCAAAAAAAACCCCCCAAAACAAATCAAATGCAGAAATGCACAATATTAAAAATATCATTCAACTGGTAGAAATGAATTATTTTTCCATTCTCACATGAAAAAAATGAAATAATTAAGATTTATATTTCTTCTGTGCAGCAGGATATCCATAGGACTTCCAGCTCTAATATATATATCTAATATGTTATTAAGGACCTTCCCTTGATTGATTAGGTAGGCAATAACTTGAGATGCTCACTTGTAGAATATTCTCCACACCAGTGCCTAGTGCCTATTTACCCGAGGGTCTCTTGAATATATACATACATATACATATACATATATATATATACACACACACACACACATACAGTCTTCATCACCGTCTCCACTATATCACATCTGTTACTGTGTGTTTTCCTGTAATCTTTGACTCACTGTGACCCTTCGGTGAACCTATCACGGGCTTTTCTTGACAAGATTTGTTTAGAAGGGGATTGTCATTGATTTGCCCAAGGTCACCCAGTGGATTTCCATGGTTAAATGGGGATTCAAACCCCAGCCTCTATAGTTCTACCCCACAGCGGTTCACACGACTGCAAAGTCTCCTAGCAGCCTGGGCTTGACCTTAGTAAGGATCTGAAGGGCTCAAGAAACATCATGAAAATGACTGTTATACCCCACAGGACAGCCTAACCTTTACCAACCAAATGTCCTCCAGATGTTTGGGAATACTGGCAGTTCCTGGGTTATTGTTCTTAAGTCGAATTTATATGTAAGTTGGAACAGGTACATTTTTATGTGTAACTACAGCCATTTAAAAAAAGATTTTAGATGGGATAGAGAAGGGGTTAACACCCCTGTAACTTTTGTTTTGCTATTTGTGAACGCTGTTCAGAAGCTTTTACCTCACTTTCTGTTCCTGTGACAACTGGATTTTGAAAAATTGAGGTTGTTGTGGGAAACAAGGATTGGTGATAAAGTTTCAATGGAGACATCTTTTTTCCCATGATGACTCTTACAGGACTGAACTTCCCTTCCTTGGGTAGGTTTCCTCTCACTTTCAATGCCCCCCCCCCCCCAGTTTGCAACTAGTAGTTGCATGTAAGTTGTATGTTTGTAACTCAGGGACTGCCTGTACATCTTCCATAATTTCTGGCCACTGTCCAAGTTGACCGGCTCTGAGACTCATTAAGAGGGGGAAATGGGATTATAAATAAACATAATAATAGTATTGTCCAAGGCTTTCATAGCCGGAATCACTGGGTTCTTGATCAGAGTGTGAGTTTTTCTGGTTATTTTGAAAGTTGGGTCTTGTTTTAGTTTTTTGTACATTGTGGGATCCAGGAGTTGTCACAATGTCTGAGGATGCTTGCCACAGATGCAGGCGAAACGTCAGGAGAGACTGCTTCTAGAACATGGCCATACAACAACCAAAAAATAAGATTGATGGATGTTGCAGTCCAAAACATTTGGAGGACATAAATGTAACCAGCAGTATAAACTAAATTAAAATCCTACCCTAGGCAAATTCTCTGAGTCTCTTCTTTTCAGAGTTCTAAGCTGTGGCATCTAGAGCGAGAGTACAGACCTAGACCCCAGAAGCTGATATAACATCCCCCACTCCATTTCAACTGCTGCAATTATGATACATGAACAGAGAGAACATCAACCAACATCTGCTGGACATCACCCCCTTCCTATTGCTATCATTTTTTCTTCATGTATTGTGTTTTTTAAAAAAGTTATAAACTTGAGAGCAGGGAACTATCAAAGTAACAATTGCAAACTATATAGAGAGAGTGTCATGCACACTGGGGACACCAAATAAATAAATGACTACATATTTATTTATTTATTTTATTTACCCTATTTATACCCCACTTTTCTCTACCCTAAAGGGTACTCAATAGGGCTGGGCGGTTTCGTTTCATTAATTCATAATTCGTTAATAATTCGTTAATTTTTTCAATTACAAAACGATAACGAACCATTCTGGAGCAATTATTAAAAAAAACGAATTTTCAAAAACGTTTTGTAAATGCTTCGTATTTCGACATTGTATTCGTTTCGTTATTGTTTTGAGGTCGTTTCGTTATTATTTCCGCATGTCTGGGCCAGTTTTATGGTTTAATTAGTGAAAAAAAATTATAATATCACACCAACAGTCAACAACAGAGGGAGAGGGAAGCTTCAGAAGGTTTTGGAGGTTTTTTAGCGTATTTCGCGGTCGCGTCCGCCATTAACGAATCGATTCGTTATTGCTTCGGAAATCGATTCGTTAATTTTTTACCATTTACGAAATTTCGTAAATATCGAACTTTTTAAAAGGAAAATTTTGTAATTATTTTAAATATCGAAACAAAAAAAACCCCAAATACAAATCGATTTTAGAAACAAATTTTTCCGTTGTTACCCAGGCCTAGTACTCAAGGCTGCTTAGAAACAGAGGCAATTATTCAATGCCTCAAAACACATACAATTCCAAAATATTAAAATTAAAAATTGAGTTAAAATTAATACATATTAGATATTTAAAAATTGCATTCATATTAAAATTATTCCATTCATAATCATAGTCAATGCCATTCCACGGTCATTACACATATTCCAAATCTGCTATTGCACTGCACTATTCTCCAAAAGCCTGATCCCACAGCCAAGGTTTTACTTTTCTTCTAGAAGGGAGAGGACCAATCTAATGTTGCTGGGGAAGGAGCCGTTAGCTCTCCATATCCACAGATCCTGCACCCATAGAGTCATCTACTCGTACCTTATAAATATCCCCCTCCTCGCCCCAAATTTACAAAAAGTAAGCCTTGATTTTGCCATTTCACACAAGGGACACCATTTTACTGCACTATTGTATATAATGGGGCTTGAACATCCACTGGCTTCCCATGGGGAGGGGGTAGGCTGCAAGCAAACCTCGGTGGATACGAAGGGCCCCCTGCACAAGATTTTCATTATGTTCTTTGCACTTTACCCCTTTTAAGAATACACAATTTTCTCACATGGAATTGCGCTGTGTAGTGACAGCACAAAATCGCATTCTTCGGCTTGCACATGTAATGCCTACACCACCCTGAAAATGATGCTTGCAAAGAAAACGCAGCCCACAATTCTTAAAATTGGCACATCTTGAAAGACTTTGGCAAAACAGCACTTAATTCACAATGTTTCCTTCAATTAAGTTAAATCCTGCATTTTGTTAGTATTCTGAATTTAACAGAGCAGTCATATTATTAACAAGTAACTCCTAGCTATTGTGCTCATGCTACGGATCTAGTAGCAAAGCTTGTTTTACATCAAGCGTGAAATGGAACAAATTAATATCACTTTGTTTACCACAATTACACGAAGGCCTACATGAAATGCATAATTAGCACAGTAACAATATGCATATAAGTATTTAGCTTTACGCCTCCCAACCCTATTTTTTTGGTCTCACTGTGCTAATAACTAGCCTTGCTAACACACCAGAAGTTGGTTTTCTAAAGTGCTCCTTTTTAGTCCTATTAGAGAAAAGATTTGCAAGAAGCAAGTTAGATGCTATTATAGCAGGTACCGAGACTCCTATTCAGCCCAAGGACTTGGCTGAGATCTTTAGAAGGAAAGAGGGCAGTCACAATGTATTCCGTAATTGCTCACATGAGCTCACAAAATTACTCAAGAGCAATCCCACATGAACATTCTGAACATCTGTCTACATCCATACAGAACACTTTCCATTCAAGATCCAAGGAAAACAAGTCTAATAGAAGGGCTGTTATTTGTCTTCTTACCAGAATTCCCTTTAGCTCTTTCATTGCACTCTCGGAGGGTTTGGGCACTTCTGGCTGTAATTAAAGACAAAACACTCATCTCTATAATTTGATTTTGCAAATGCTAAATAATGCATTCAAGAGAAGAACAGCATTCTCAATGAAAAATGGTAAGGAGTGGGATTCCACAAGGAAGACTCTATTTGAAGCACACTAGACTGGATTGCAGTAATACAAATTGGAGGAGCCTTAATAGTACAAAACGCATAGTACGGGGACCACCGAAAGTGGGCATTTGTGTGTATGTGTGTGGAGCTAAATGCCTAGACTCATTTAGATTAAAAGGCTTTTTAAAAAAAAGAGAGAGAGGGGAAAGTAAAGTGGATGTAATCCTAAAAGCCGGTCACGTAAAACTTCGTTAACCGTACAAAGCCATGTTATCTATGTGATCCCAGGTGTTGCAGTCCAAAAACAAACTTTTTCTACTTCTGTTTGGACTGCATTTATTTATTTATTTATATTTTATTTACAGTATTTATATTCTGCCCTTCTCACCCTGCAAGGGACTCAGAGCAGATTACAATGCACATATACATGGCAAACATTCAGTGCCACTAAACATATAACATACATAGAGAAACACAGAGGCAATTTAACATTCCAGCTTTTTCCATTTTCATGAGGGTATGATCAATTCCGGACACAGGGGGAGCTGCTACTTCACCGTCCACTTGTGACACCGAGTCCTTGATGGAGTACTTCCTCATTCTTATGCACACTGCTGGAAGGTTTTATGGTGTCGTAAATTAGTTAAACTAGCCTCCCCGCATAAAGCAGTACCTAAATTTCCTACTTGGCAGAAGCAACTCTCTTTTGGGCTGCATAGGTCAACAGCAAGTTATATTATTAATGGCCAGGAGCTCACTCCGACCCAGGGTGGCTTCAAACTCATGACCTCTTTGTCAGTAGTGATTTAATGCAGCTGGCTACTAATCAGCTGCGCCACAGCCCAGGCTTTTCAAGTATTACAAACTTCCCCCTTATTAACATAATTTACTCTATGTTTGATCAGTTGACCAGTGTTAGGTTTATACAAGACTGTCTAAACATAAAAAGAGCCATTACTTCTGGGGTATTTTTTGGTCAGATTTAAGTGGGTCTCAACAAACCGGAATTAGGAATACAATTAACTTCACTGACTTTCTGCATAAATGATGAAGATCATTTTTAACCTGTAGATCTTTTCACTGCTATTTGATATGGGGAATGGCCTCTGACTCCAAGTATACAATTAAAATACATAGCTAGTTTAAATCAAAGGTTGGGCAACTGTGGAAGTCTAGGGGGCAGCATTAGCCCACCAAGAGACACTTGGACAGTTGCACACCTCCTGCAAGAGAATCAATTTTCATTTGTACCCAAACACTATATAGGTGTTGAGGTGCAGCATTTTAGATTTAGGGGTGGTGTTTCATGACAATAAGAAGTGAGTGGAAATCACTTTCTGTTTCAAAGAAGGCCTTTTCCAGGGTGTAACTTCCTTTACCTCTGGGGATGTTGGCACACAAAAAAAATCTGGAGATTTCAGGGTGTCATATAATAAAAACAATTTGAACAGTATGAAAAAAATGAAACAGTTTAAATAATTTTAAGACTAAATGCTTATTCAGGCACAGTAATTAACAGCAGTCAAAACAAAACCATTCTTATATGCAATTTGGCTGAAATAAAAGGCTTGAGTAAACAGCCCCATGTTGGCACTTGGTACTGGAATGAGAGCAGTGCTGGTGTCAATTAGATATCCACAGTGACAGTATTCTACAACATAATGTAGTTACTTTTTTCCATGTCAGGAGCAACTTGAGAAACTGCAAGTCGCTTCTGCTGTGAGAGAATTGGCTGTCTGTAAGGACGTTGCCCAGGAAATGCCTGGATGTTTTGATATTTTACTATCCTTATGGGAGGCTTCTCTCATATCCCACATAGGGAGCTGGAGCTGACAGAGGGAGCTCATCCACGCTCTCCCCGGATTTGAACCGCTGACCTGTCAGTCTTCAGTCCTGCCGGCACAAGAATTTAACCCACTGCACGACTGGGGGCTCCTATTGTAGTTATGGTGCTGTATCCTCAGATATAGAGCATACCTGTATTCCTGTCTCTGATTTGAATCTTGATATTTCAAGAGACAGGCCCAGGAACGAAGTAGAGTGTTCCCTCACTACTTTGCCATTCGCGTCTTGTGGATTTGCTGCTTTGTTGTTTTTCAAAAAAAAATTAATTAAAATACAAGTAGTGAGGGAACACTGTATATAGCAGACTTGAGTTGCAGAGTTACTCACACACTTCTTCCTCTGAGGTAAGAGAGGGCTGCCAAGGCAGTTTCCACCAAGGCTTCTTCCTCCAGGGACTGAAAGGGCCACCAAGGCCGTTTCTGCCAGGGCGTCTTCCTCCAGGGTCTGAGAGGGCTGCCAAGGTGACCGGGTGAGAGCCCCATGCCAGTGGGGAGGGAGGGAGGGAGGAAGAAAGGGGGAAAGAGGAGAGGAAGAGAGAGAGAGAGAGGAGGGGGAGAGAGGAGTGGACAGAGCTATACTGTACATATACAGTATCGCATCTCTACATTGCAGTTTTTCACTTATTGTGAGGATTCCTGGAATACGCTTTCACTAGGTTTTGACTATGAAGTGTTATATTGCAGTAGAGAGGAATGCATCAAAGCGCTTTCAGGTGCCTCATGTTCTGTTGGAATAAGGGGATTGAGCAGCCATTCCATTAATTACGCAAAGAAGAACTTCTGAAAAGATGATCATTCTACTCAAACTCTGCCCCTAGTTTTATATGGGAGTTACTAATGACTAACCTTTGTCTTAGAGCGATTGGTCTGATTAACAGGTCTAAGGTGAACACCCTTTTTAATTCTATCCATCATTTCTTCCACAGCTTGTCTCTTCAGATCTGTCACTTCTCCTGTTTCCAACAAAAGAAAGTAATCAAAGTAAAAATAGTGACTCTTGCTATAAGATTGTTCACCACATCCTCTTACAAATTGATCTTTCCTTTTCTATTATTGAAAGTTGGTGAAGACAGAGAAGAAAAAAGGCCAAATCACAATGTATGGGTGTATGTACCTTCAACTCATCTATTAGAATTGACTTATTAATTTCATAGTATTTTCTTAGGCAAGGAATACTCAGTTTGATCAGTTCCTTCCTCTGAAATATGGTCTACAGCACCTATTCTGTATTAGTAGTTTACCATCCAAGTACTAACCGGAGCTATGCTGTTTATCTTTCAAGATCAAATGGGATCTGATGTCTTTAGGGCATTTTGGTCATACAAGTCATAGTTGAAGCTGCCAAGGTAGCTGTACCCTCTTGCTCAGATCAGTAATTCCCAAAAGGTATCATAGGGATTTTAAGGATAGCATGCAGAATAACTGTAGTAAATATTTATTTACCCCTGCAGATAAAAAGGAGCACAAGTGCAACAGCAGACAAACCCCAAACCAAAAGGGGAAAAATACTTTGTTCTTAAGAAGAGAATGCTCACAAAAACGTTTTCTGGGGACCTGTCCAGACAGTAGCTTTATTGTGGTAACTCCCACAATAAAGGAGGGACTGTCCAGACAACATTCTGGACAGTCCTGAATTAATTTGCTACAAACCAGGAAAACCCTGGTTTGTAGCAAATTAATTTGATAGCGGATTTATTCCACGCCTTCTTGGAAGGATTGGGATAAATCCAGTATTTCTGTTTATGGACTGCAGAATACTGCAGCCCAGACAGTATTCCTACAGTTTACTGGGCTAAATAAACCTGGTAAACTGTGGGAATACCCACCCCTCCCCCCCAAGCCCTCAGACCCCTTAGAAAATGAATGAAAACTTAATTGGACTCCCTTAAATACTTCACCAAGCTCTCATGGTGCATGGAAATGAAGCGCCAGGAGAGTGGTAGGTGGGCGGTAGTTTCTACACACTGGGAGAGCTGGGCAAAGCATGTAATGGAGTCCAGGGAAGTTTATTTGTTTTCTTAGGGGTCTGGAGGCTTGGGGGGGGGGGGTAGGGCCTCCAGACGTTCTCTTGGGCTAGTCCTGATAGAATGTCTGGACACCCACCCCAGAACGCGTGTGCTTTTTGGGGTGGGTGTGAACAGACCCCCAGGAAAATTTATGTTTTTTAAATGTGGATTCTCCTGGGAAAAGGCCTGTCTGGATCTGGCCTAAGTCTTTCTCAGCAGGTTTTAGGGTGTAAAGAGAACTGCACATGGGTGGACTTCTTCACTGATTTTATCCTCAAAGGGAGCAACAAGTAATTTTAGCATTTCCCTTCCTACTGTGAAGAACCCTTTAACACTGCATCACTTTTGAAGACTTTTTGCAATTCAGCACAAAATTGGGGTATAGAAGGGGGGGGGGGAGAGTGCTGAATTTTCTGTGTAGGAAACAGCATTGTATGCACCAAAATAGCAGAAATACTATGTTCTATGTAGAAATGTGCTATGTGGAAAAATGCTGCTCCCTATATAAAAATATGGAAGCTTTTGGGGAGGAGGGTGGTCTACATACATACTAATTTTGCACAGAAAATATTCTGAACTACAAAAATTCTTGTCAGTCCTGGATAATCCTTTTCAGATTTCCTATATTTGAGAAACACATTTCTGACCATTTTTGAATATTTTCAAATATTATTTTCATTATTGAGATTTGTAATCACTGGCAACCAATAGAAATACATTTGTTAGGACATGGCTACAGAAAATTGTTATAATGATGTATTTCAGACAGCACAAAAATGAAATATTTACAGCTTTACAAAAACCAAACCCCTCATTTCCGATGAATTATGACATGATCATGATGATGTTTTGGGATAGGTAAGTAATGCTATTTAATTAGTTCATGGAATAATTAACTGAAAAATAGGGTGATGCTATTCAGGTTTGCTATAATGTCTGGTGCAGTACAATATCCAATAAACCTGACATTATCTCCGAATATTTGTGATCTGCAGGAAAATACTTTTACTGGAATTACATTCCAAGTCAGTGTTTTTCAAGCTGAACACCTATTTAACTGTTACCATGAATTGTAAGTCCTTAATGGAGATTAACACCAACACTGAATTAGGTTATAATAACTCAATCACATGGCAGCTTTCTCAATTTTAGCATACATCTGAACCATTTACAGAGCTAGCAATTTATTGTGCAAGTTAGGGAAGGTCACAGCTGCTAAAAACTATTAATTTATCAAAAAGCCTACCCTGTTCATAACAATTAGCTAAAAGCACAATCCTATGCATGTTTTCTCAGAAATAAATCCCATTAAATTCAAGCAGACTGCCTTCCAAGGAAGTGTGTATAGGACTATACTCTAAATCCTGTGCTGTCCTAAAGACTAACACTTTGGCTGTGGTATAAGTACCCAATGGGAAAGAACACGCTTTATCATATCAGTGTCATACTTCATAAGCATGTTCATGATCACACATTAATAAAATGAACTTGTTATTTAGGGATGGGGACACTGCAGGCCTGGCAAAGGAGTATTTCATTACTAATGAACCATTATTCAGAACTTGGAAAAAGTTAAATTTGAGTACTACAACTTCACAATTTCACCCACCGCCATGTTCATGGTTGAAGGACATGGGTTATTATAATTCCCCAAAGTAACTTTGCTTAGCTCTACTCTTAATAAGCACAGTCAAATCCAGGCAGGTTCAATGGAAAGGGCACAAGATCTAGCCAGAGAGGAAATTGGATGGGTGATTATTCAAAGAGGAAGAATTCCAAAATGGAAACACCTTCTGTTTGAATCAGAGAAGCACCCATTCAAAGCTGCCCAAACTTGCAGACACAGAATGGGATTCTTTCTCTGTTTTCACAAATATTGCAGCCTGGGATTGTGGGATTTCCCACTTTGTAATTTGTGGCTGCAATGGCTCTCCTGGATTGCATAGGGCTGTCACATATTTACAAGTAATCATGGGTCTTGTCAGAAGAAAAAAGTGGAAATGAAAGCTGCAATGGAAAAAAGCGATGCAGCATGCCTCAGTTCTGTTATTGAAGGATGAAAGGGAGATGTGTGCGTAAAAATCTACCTGCTCTGAACAGCTTTTAACTGACATGTTTTTATTGCTTATGCTCCTCTTGTTGTGGTGTTTTCTTAATTTATCTCCGGAAAGATTTGTTTTCCCCCTGCAGATTGGTTGAATTTCAATGGCAGAATATTGTTGATTATTCTATGATGAATGTTAACATTTTGTTGTAATATTATATCATTGTACTTCCATTTTAAAATGTGTATTCTGCTCACCATCTTGAGATGATTTAATTTAGAAAGATGGGTTATACTATTAAATGAAGAAATAATACAAATTTGTGCTGGTCAATGACCGAAATAAATGTTTTGATTTGATTTGATTTGAAATTTGAGAAGTACTATTGCCACTTTGAGTCCCATTCATGGGGAAAAAGCCTGAGAAAATAATAATAATCATCATCATCATCATCATCATCATCATCATCATCATCATCATCATAATCCAGTACAGGTGATCCCAGTGGTCATTGGCACATTGGGTGCCGTGACCTCAGCTGGCATTTGGAAACCATAAACATTGACAAAATCACGATCTGTCAACTGCAAAAGGCCACCTTACTTGGATCTGCGCGCATCATTCGAAAATACATCACACAGTCCTAGACGCTTAGGAAGTGTTCGACTTCTGATTTTGTGATACGAAATCCAGCATATAAATTTCATTTACTGTGACATACTGTGTTTTTGTGTCAATAATAATAATAATAATTTTGGTAGTATAGAAAAATCAAGTTCTTTGATCCTTGTGGTGGGAACTAGTTATAATCTGTGGGTGGAAGTTTTGCTGGTCTGGGAAGTCAAGGAGGCTCTAAGTAAATACTCCCAATGGGTCCAGTCTCTCAGACTGATGTACTATCCTGGACTGAGAACAATATGGATATACTATGGAGAACTCTGCAATCTTCATAGGTATGTGAGTTGTTTTGTCCAAGAAGGAAGGAAGAAAAGGCAGACCCTTTGGTGGTTCAGAGACAACTGAGTATAAGGAAGATAAGAGACCCAAAACCCCAACAGAAAACCACTCCTTCCTATTCCCAGCCTTCAGTTTCCATTTTACCAAGTCAAACTCTCTCTGTCAACCAGCTTCCCCTTAATGCTGCTTCCTCTCCGATTTCCTTTCTTCCTCTTTCTTTGGATCACTATCCAAAGACACACACATAGCATTCATATAACAATAAGTTCTATGATACACCAACATAGGTTGCCCACCATTTTCTCTCTTTTCTCCAAACAAACAAATTTAAACAGAATGGGAAGTGGGTCTATATAATAAAAACCATAGAAGGAATAAAGGAGTAGGAGGCAGAGAATCAGCATAGGACTTGGAAACAATTTTATTTGGATTCTTATGAAAAGTAAGTAATCTGGTGTGGTATGAAGGAGATACTGGTACTGGTAAAATGATCATGGGTATCATATTTTCAAATCTTCATTAATGATGTTATCCTATCATAATATAAGGTTGGGTACAAACAAGGAAGCTTAAAGTAAGCTGTCATGCCTACCTTGAGTCCCCATGGGGAGAAAGGTGGGGTAGAAATAAAGATGCTGCTGATTGTGATAATAATAATAATAATAATTATTATTATTATTATTATTATTATTATTTCATATTCATCACAGCATTATATCAGTAACCGCCAGCATTTATTTCTTTTATAATATCACCAAAATTATGCATAGGCAGTAACAATCCAACACAGTTTCTGCTTAACCAGACTAACATGAGATGGTTCTTAAAATGAAAGGATCTTTTTGCTTAATGTAGGGGCATCGAAGGCACAGGAACCATGTGATTTCCCTGACAAGACAATTTATTTTATTGACAAGAAAATGTGGATACCTGACTCTTGCTGAGATGCTGTCTTTTCTTTCTTGGCCATGCTGCTGTTTGGATGAGACTTCTTACGAATCATTGACATCAGGGACCTTTCACAAAGTGAAGGAGGAGAGAGTCACTCAGCTTTCTCTTGAACATGACATCTCTACTTTCAGAACTCGCTTTAGGGCTTTTCGTTGCCTCTATTTCTATTGTTGCCAAGGGCATCAACCCTTCCAGGATTGGGGCCTGTTTATATGACAAGCATTGTGAAAAAAGCCAGCATTAACCGCCAAACAGCGAGCTCTCTTATTGACAAGAGTGTTCAAACATTGCCAGGCAGAGACAGAAATGTCACACCGCCTAAAAATACACCCAACGTATTATTTATTTTGCTATTGCTGTTGACAAGGCATAGTGCAAAACACTTAAGATCTGAATATTAAAAGGTAACGTAGCACTGTGACATGCATGGCAAAATAAAGCCTTCTCACACAATAAAAAAAAATTGAAGGGTTTGAAATGTTAACATGACGCATTACTCTCCAGAGAACAATGTTACCCAGCAGGGTGCCTCTATATTGTCCCTTCATTTCTACAGTATATATTTGCTAGAGTAGGTCTACTGGTAAACAAACAAAATGGAAATGGAAAATAAAAACCCTCACAGTATCTATGGTTGCTGTTCAATCGAGAAAGCATGATATTAATTTTAAACAGGCACTGACAAGTCAATATTTGACCAAATATGAGATGTTTGCTGTCATTTCTTTATTTCCTTTTTTTTTTACAAAAAGCTTTTAAAATGCCTAAAAGGGGGGAAAGTTGTTATTATGAATGTGTACTGGGATGCCTTGAACACTATTCTGAATGTTAAATGCCCATCAAGAGAATAAATACATTCAGTGATCTTTAAACAGTTATAAGACTGCCTGTAACATTTAGAGGAATACGAACATTTCAGAACTATGAGAACTCGCCTAAAGACTAACCTGTGAAAAATGCTGCAAGCTGATTAAATAGAAATGGACCAGTTTTTGTTCTCTTCATTAAGTGATCAGCCAAAGTCTATTCTGTCCTTTGTGTGATACTCCTAACAGACCCTGATTCACTGATTGTTGTGTAATATCTGTTCTGCATATAATGAGCAGGGAAGAATAGCCATATTTCTGTCCCTTACCCCTTTCAAAGAAAATTAGTAGTTATTCCATGTGGTCCTGAAAACATTAAATCTCCTCCTCAAAAAACAATCCACCCACTAACAAATTGGTATGGTACTAGAAAAGGAGAAACAGATTTGGTGTTCTTCAGTGTTTTGATTTCGGAAAGTGAGCTATTCTAGCCTTTCAAATATGACCACAGAAGTAATCTCTGCCAACACACTTAACCATTTGCGGAACATCATTAGCTGAAAGAGGAAAAAAATACAAATAAAGATACAGCCATTCTCTTCCAGTTTGCAACAGCCTCTCTGGTGAGTTTCCTGGATATTAATCTTATATCTGTGTCTCCTGGGCAAATCTCTTCTTCTCCATGAAAATTTCTTTAAAGTTTCCCAATAATGAAAGCCTGGAGCTAGGAATGGGTTACATTCATGACCAGTAAAATCAGGAGAAATATCAAGAGGTGCTCAAGATTGGTAGGATTTTACATGGAAAGGAGGTCACATGGGTATACTTTTGGCAGAAAGATGCCACAGGCCAAGATGAAATACTAAAAGAGAGAGAGCAGCTAAACAATTTGTTTCGTTTGCTGATTTCCCAATATCCTCTTAAATGGAATGGAGTACTTGTCAATTTAGAACCAAAACCCATTTCCAACATCAACCACTTTATCAGATGTTAGGAAAAATACTGTTTTGTGGTCTCTGTTAGTCTTGGAACAAATTTTAGCCCATTCCTTGCAGGATGTACCCAAATATACATCTACAATATGGTCCTTAGGCACTATTATCTGGATACTACAAAATATTGTCCCTATTTTCATTTCATAGTTTTCTATCTGTAAATAAAAAACTGCCAAGGACATCTGTGCACACCTTGGATGTTACTTGAAAGCTTTTTTGTTTTTGTTTTAAGTAATGTAGCATATAAAGAATTTTCTAAAACAAATTGCCATCCAGTTGGATATTTAACATCTACATGAAACTGTTGGGCCAGGTCATCTGGAGTTTTGGAGCTCAGTGCCATCCTTACACAGATGACACATAACTATTACTCATTTCCACCCAACACCAAGGAAGCCGCCCTGGTCCTGAACCAGTATCTGGCTGCTGTCATGGGCTGGATGAGGGCTAACAAACTGAAACTTAATGCAGACAAGACAGAGGTCCTCCTGGTCAGTCATGAGGCTGCTCAGGGTATAGGGTGACAACCTGTTCTGGATGAGGTTACACTCCCCGTAAGGACATAACTCTGCAGCTTGGGGGTCCTCCTAAATTCAGTGCTAACTCTTGAATGTCAGGTGTCATCAGTTGCTGGGAGGGTCTTTGCACAATTAAAGCTTGTGCGCTAGCTGCACCCGTACCTTGAAAAAATCAGATCTGGCCGCAGTGGTCCATGCCTTGTTTACATCTTGGATGGATTACTGCAATGTTCTCCATGTGAGTCTGCCTTTGAAGATGGCTCAGAAACTACAACTAGTGCAAAGAGGAATTAAAAACTTGGATGTTCCGTCATGCCTTTGATTAGGCAGTTTCACCAGAGAACGATCTTGTTCCTACTCTAAGCCATGCACTTTATTCCCTGCCCACCTATTGGTTATTCGACACTTTTAAGGGTATTTCTCAGCCTAATTCTGCACTTTCCACTGGCTCAATTTCAGAATCATTGCACTTATTTGAGCCTGATCCCAGTTTGAACTTTATCTCAGCCTTATTGTTTTAAGATGATGTTTTGTGATTGTGTTTTGCTTTTATTTGTTTGACTTTAATGCTGTTTGTATTTGTAACATGGGCTGGTCCCCTTGTAGGCCGCCCGAGTCCCTTTGGGGAGATGGTGGCGGCGCATAAGAATAAAGATGTGTTGTTGTTGTTGTTGTTGTTAGAGTAGCAGTCAGATTACTAACAGGAGCTGACTACAGGGAGCATACAACTCTTCTGTTAAAACAACTCCACTGGTTGCCTGTGTGTTTCTGGGCTCAATTCAAAGTGCAGGTTATTACCTACAAAGCCCTACATGGTCCAGTATATTTGCATGACCATGTTTCCTCCTATAAATGCGCTCAGGCCCTGAAGTCCAATGGAGAGGCCCATCATACATGCACTTGTGGAATGCCCTCCCCAGGGAGCTTAGACTGGCCACCACACTAATGACTTTTAGGAAAGAATTAAAAACTTGGTTATGGAAACTGGCCTTTGAGAATGACTAACACAATTTAAATAATGGAGGATTTAAATGCTAACTGGTTTATTGTTTTAAGAAGGGTTGGGTTTGTAATCCTTTTAATCTCAGTATATGCTTTAACTGTCACATATCTCCTTGTCCATCAGTGACGCACTTCTGAATTTTATTAATATGTTTATGTGTTTTCATGCTTTTATTATTGTGTGATCTAAGTTTGATTTGATTGTATGCTTACTATTACTACAGTGTGTTTTTTCTGTTATAAGCTGCCCCGAGTCTTTTTGGGGAGAGGGGGTGAGATATAAATAAAGATGATGATGATTATTATTATTATTATTATTATTGAAACAAAATCTGATCTGGAACAACAGGCTCAAGTAGCCTCTTTTAATATATAGTTTGTGGTGTTTTATCATTTAGAGATACATTACAATTGAGCTTTTTATAGTATTATATTTCAGACACTGTGTAAAGTTCTTTGAGTTGTTTGTGTAACAAATCCACCCAAGAGTTCCAAATCTGATTATATGATCCCTAAGTAGCACATACAATTTATTTTGATCACTGCATTCATTCATGTAAAAAGTATGCATAACATTTTACATTACAAACTAACAGTTGTAGATCTGGCATGCTTCAGGTTATACTAAAATGTATAAAAAGAGGTTACAACTACATTAAAAAGGTGTCTAAGACAACATATTAGTAATTCAATTGTGAAAAGCAAAATATATGTCATACCTTCTTCTGAGCTTTAGATCATGTGTAAATATTATTCTGCATTAAATATTTCATAGGTTTAAAATGGATTATACCCCTGCCTGCTTCAGGAATATTGCAGAAAGGCTTTTAAGAGACATGGTACTGGGCACACTGGGGGCATAGCAAGCAAAGAATTAGCGGAGCAACTGTTCTCTTCAAATAGATCTAAATTGCTTTGGAAGCAAAGATTAGGCAAGTCACATGATGTAACAGAAGGTAGAAACAGGCTTATAAATGACTATTTAGAAATTCAAGTAATCAGACTTTGGGGCAGTCTATGTTTTCATTAAAATCACAAGTATAATTTTATTGACAAGTGAATTTTATTCACAATGTTTGGAACAATATGTTCCAAGATAAAAAAAATTAACCCTCTCCCCCTCTCTTTGTTAAAAACTGTACTCTTTATTTTCAATGTCTAGTCTCTTTTGACAAAACAAGAAGAAAATCATATCTACTTATCAATGAGATTAGTATATGCAACTTCTGGAAGAGACAAATTGGAGGGAAGGAGAAGAAAATGCTTTTGATTCAATGGTTATTTTTAATGGTCACCTCTGACTCCTCCATGTTGGCTTTAACAGAAAAGAGGGGAAAGGAGAAAGGCTGGGCTTGATTCTGTATCAATCTTTGGATGAAATAATATGTATTTTCTCTTGTGCCCATGACTTCTTTTACCTGTCTCTTATACCCGTTGAGGAAACTCATTGTGTGGATTTTTTTATCCCAGATAGAAATAGTAGAGGCAGGCTTCAGTGTCAATCTGGTAACTAGATTTGTACAGCCCTATTGATAACATTCATGTGTAATCTTTCACATTATTCATAATAAAAACTATATAGTAAGTGATTAGGACCAGCCACCTTCAAGATGATTTGTATAATAACTACAGTATTCAGCACACTGAAACACCAGGAAATTATGTAGGTGCCACAAATTAGACTTCTGGGGGCAGTTTGGATATTTCCAACCGAGTATAAGAGACAAGAATCTCAAATCTCAGAACAATCCATTAGCACAAATCCTATAATTAGATTTCAAACTGAATGTACTGCAGTTCACGTTGAATGTGAAACACATATAGCTAAAAATTACCAGGATTTGATTAATATGGGTCCATACGACATCTTTACACCCATATATAAAAAACACTGAACATAATTTTAATGCATTGGGGCAAAGAGTGTTGTAGTAGAGTCTGTTGGCAATGCTGCAACTGGTAGTAGGAGTGGTAGAGGAGGGAAACAAGACGCTCAGGTGTTAGATGAGGAACAGCAAAGGAAGAGGATCCGGGAGATACTTGTGTCACCCACTGATGAAGAATCCTTTGAAGGTTTCTCCGAGAGTGAAATGAGTGAGGAGGAGGAAGGAGATACAGATGGGAATAGGGGAACTAAGAGCAGGAACTCAAGAGCAGGAGTCAGTTGAGGAGTGTCAGAGAAAGAAGATCTAAGACATACTTACTGCTCCCACAGACGAAGAGGATTTCACGGGTTTTTTCTGGGAATGATGGGTCTGGGAGTGATGGGGATGAAGAGGAACCACTGGATTTGACCAAGGTACAGGAGGTTCAGAATGTATGTACTCAACCAACGTCCAGTGACACTTTTGTGGGGTTTTATGGTGGTGAGGATTGGCAATCTGGTGATACTGTGGAATCATGGGGTGACCTAAGTCTTGACAACAGGTGGAAGAGTTGGAGGGATGGGCGTTGGCGTTCAGCTGTAGAAGCTAAGCCAGCTGATAGCGATGAGGATGGGGTGGAGGGCAGCTCATCATCAGATGATGAGCTGTAAGATAAATGAAGGCACTGGAATGATTGAACTTTGCAGTAGGCAAAGTGTTGGTTTTGTGCCTTGGATCTTGTTGCTGCCGCTTTCTTGTTGGGCTTGGGTCCTGGATCTGCAGGTTGCTGTTTGCTTCGTGTACCGACCAGCTTGGATTCTCATAAGTGTGGATTTCCCCTCTCCTTGACTTCAGACTGTTTTTGACGATGACACTGCCTTGTGGACTTTGGAACTTTCAACTGGGATTTCTTCAACTTTGGACTGCTACTGGACGACGGCTTCTCTTCACGGCACTTTGTTTGTTTGTTTTCTTTGAACTGTGTGATTTTGGTGTGTTTTGGAAGAACTTGTTTAATCCGGGTTTTTTGCCAGTTTAATCCGGTTTATTTTCTGAGTTCGTTTTTCAAGCTAGAAATTGCTACAAACTTTGGGTTTTGACCAGAGGCACTGAAGCAAGTGTCTCTGAGTCCTGTTTACTTTGTTTTAATAAACTATTGTTTTGGACACACTCCTGTGTCTGGCTCTTTAAGGCATCTGGGTTCCGACAAAGAGAGTCATATGAAGTCTCTCAAATAATTTTTCCCCATGGTATTTTATGAAGATCATCCATATACTGTGTGTATATGTGCCTTCAGGTTGCCTGTCAACCTATGGTGACCCTATGAATTTTATAGAGGTTTCTTAGGCAAGGAATAATCATAGGCAGTTTGGCCACTTCCCTCCTCTGAAATAAAGTTTACAGCATCTGGTACTGTTTAAAAGTTTTCTCTCCAAGTATGAACCAGAACTGACTCTTATTTGTTTCCAAGATCATATGGGATCTGCTGCCTTTAATTGTATATAGCTAGGCTGTCATGGAGAATTAAAGATAAAGTAGATCGAATTGTGGAAATTATACATAGTCAGTAAGTTTCAATTTGATTTTTGTTTCACCTAGGACTTAATCACATTGGGATATAATCCATTTATATCAGTATGCATTTCATATATTTTTAGGACTGGATGTATGCTGTATTGAGACAGGATGCATATTCTCCTCATTGCACCTGATTATTACAATTCTTCTGACTTGAAAATACTGCACTTTGACTCATCACACCATGGAAGGCTTGTTCCTCCCAAATCATTGAAAACACCCCTACACCACTCTCTGACCTTTTAAAATGTATTGTTCCTGATGGGATGCATACAGATTTTCTTATCACACACAAAAATAGTAAGTATGGTAAAAAAGTATAGTAAAAATAGTTCAGTAATGGAAGAACCCATAGTATCTCAAAAAACATGATTGGAATTCTGTCTGCAAATAATCCATTTCTGCAACGCTTTGCAGATGGAGTGCAAGGGAATACTGACGGGATGAGGCAAACATCATATGATGGGACCCAGTCCAAACCATTATCAAACAGAAATGGAGTATTTCCTAATGTGATAAGATCCCCAGACAAACCACCTGCCTTTTTCATCAGTGCATAACATTCTAATTGACTGATTTGTTCCCCTCTCCCTGACAAACTTAAACAAGCTTGAGGAATCTGTAGTCATTCAGATACTGATGGACCAATATCCATACAATCACCTGTCATTAGGTTATTATCTGGGTCCGGTATAATCTAAAGCAGTGGTTCGCAACCTGTGGGTTCCCAGATGTTAGGATATGCAGATATGCAGTTAGGAAAAAATAGAGCAAATGTCTTCCCAGATTTCCAGCCAATTCACTGGTTGGTCCTGGGATGTGCTCTGCTGGTGTCATCATCTGGAACTGCACAGTGAGTCAGAAAGGGAAGCAATGCAGAAGAATCCTGGCAGAGTTGTATGCTCCCCTAGTGATTTTACAATATCTTGGTCTTTGTGTCAAGTTTACCAGTCACAGCTGCAGCTAATATTCCAATTTGACTGGTCTACACAATCAGAAGATATTCCTAGGAGCAGGAAAAATGGCTTTTGATCTGCCACCACAGAGTCAGCAAATCTGTAATGTAGAATTGCTGTTCAGGAGAAGAAATCTGGGACATATTTTATACTGCAGTCCACTTTATTCCTGCCATCAATAACCAAGCTTGGGCTCAAGGGTGTTGCAGTCCTAAAGTTTGGAGGATATTGGGTTGTTTGTCTAATTGAAAGTTATTGAGGCATGACAATTTCCATCAGCACTAGCTGACAGAGCCAATTGTGAGGAATGATTGGATAGAATTGCAACAACATCTAGAGGGGCGCACATTGAGAATCTAAAGAACCTATCATTCGATTAAATTGTACTTACCTTATTGGATTTGGAGGTGGTGGAGGTAGTGGAGGTGGTAGTGGTGGTGGAGGAGGAGGTACAGGTGTTTCTGGCTGTTGCATCCTTTTTTGAAGTTCATCTGCTGTACAATGAAAAAATGGAGTCCCCAGTAAAAAATCTTCTTATACCCAACCATATTAGAAAATAAAAAACACAAGTTTGGCAAAATAGAAAACAAATCCCTTAGAATAATGATTAATTAGTTATCCAATGGGTTGTACTGATATAACACGAGATATCAAATTGTTTTCTAAAATGCTTTCTGGGCTACCTAATTTGTCAGAAACAGTTATGGTGCCTAATATTTCTATTATTTTATATAAAAATAACATCACATTGTAAGGTAGATTCTATATATCTATTTCAGAAATCTTCATTGTAAATAGTTTCCAGCATATGCATGCATCCATCCATCCATATAATGAAAATGAAATTAAATAAACTGTTATCCTGTAACATTGGGTGTTGTCTCTGAAGTTCTGAAACATCAGGTATTCTTCCAGATCTGATTCTGCCAAAGGAGCCATTATTCAGGTATAGCACTAAAAGCTCTGTAAGGATTTATAATATATTGGTTGGAGGGCACCTCATTGAAACCATTGGTTTAAATAGCTTCCCAAAACCTCATACCGAGTTGCCAAAGAGACCATAACATAGGACCAAAACCACCCATACACAGGACTAGGAAGATTACTTATTTTGGACTATGGTTCACAGATGTGTACTGGGAGGCTTCTGAAATACGGAATCCAAAAAGGTAACATTTTCCAATTCTTCTCTATCTAGATACAGGTCCTTTGTGAGCAAAACTAATGTTGAAACAAAATGAATTGTAACAGTTCCATGCAAGCACTATTTTTTTATTTACTATTCATAAGTCCAACTTCATTATGTCAGTGAGTACATATCTAATCATCACATCACTTGAAACATATTGAGTTTGCCTGATTTTAGAAACCAGGCAGGATTGGATCTGGTCACTCTTCAAATGAAAGACTGCCCAGGAATGCCACAGATTTCCACGTAGAGCTGGGAATGTTTCCTGCCTAAAACCCTGGGAGAACTATTTCTGCCAGTCAGAATTGACACAATATGGCTAGATAAGAAAAAAATTGTATGTGATCATGAAGATTTATCTAGAATGTCCAACAGTAGATGAAGAACCAACTTTGCCCCCTAATTAGGGATGGAAAAATATTCAAACAATAATTGGAAAAAATATGTTATTATGTTGAAAAATAATTATGGCAAGAATCGCAGGCCACCTTTTTTTTTTTTTTGCACTTTAGGACTTATTCTGCGCAAAATTCACACACAATTGATTTGTACAGAAAACAGCATTTTCTGCACCAGAAAGAACTGTTTTGAACAGAAAACAACACTTTTGCATAAAAATATTAATTTATGTCTCAAAAATGCTCTTTCTTGTCAGAAAAAGGTTGATTGCTTCAACAGACAACCACGGGAGAATTGTTCACAGAAAAAGTCCTAGATTGCAAATAGGTTTCAAAAACTGTGCAGTTTTAAAAGTCTATTTCATAGTGGGAAGAAAATTACTAAAATTACTCATTACTTCCTTCAAGAAGACATTCAGTGAAGAAGTACATCCCTATTCTTAAAACTAACTGTCTCTGTAGTGATTATTGGTTCTGTTGACTTGTATTATATAACACTCTGCTTCCGTGGACATACTACCACTTCATAATCCCTGAAGAATCATTAGTGTATTCTTCTCCTCCTCACTTTTTGATATAGTAAACAGCCATTATTTTTAGTGTTCTGGAAATGGTTGAAATGTAGCAACCTTAAAGGACACCATCAAATGGAAATTTAGTCAATACACACACTCAGGTAATTTATGTCCTATGGTGGTCTCTGAACGAGTTTCCTTGGTAATTTCCATAGGTTTTTCAGTTACTTTACAAGCCTGTGATTAATTTAACACACAAAACTGTAAAACAGTTTTAGGGTTTTGCACAAAGGCATTAGTATGTTTTTCTTTTGACATTTTCTATCCACATAATCCAGCTGCTTTAGGATAGTTAAACAGTACTTCCCCTGCTGGTAGCTGTATTTTGAATTTATTAAGAAATGGCAATCTTAGATAAAGAGTCGTAAATTACAGTTTTTAGCACTTAATAGGTACAATGCTGTAAGCTGGTCAGGCACCATCCTGGCAAATAAGTCTTTGGTAACAACTAAATTACAGTAGTTGATCCATACTGTATGTATTCTAAGTGGTTTTGTCAGTGTTCCTGATGCCTTGCTTTACCCTATAAACTGGACAAATAATAGCCACCAAGTCAGACAGGTTCTACAGTCAGATAGTGAGGGGTAAATGTTTAGCCTGATGTGCATGGAATTAGCCACACGGCTCCCACCGGTTTTAGCCATTAGCACCCAAGGGAGTTGCAAAGCTAATTCCTTCTGCATAGCCATTGACACAGCATTTACTTTTTAAAATGTTACTCACATAACACAAGGGGAAACAAAACCCTGACATCTGTAGGAGTTGCAGCTCTCTGACTCATTGTGAAGGGCTAAATCTTTTCTCAGAATATATAAAGAACTTCTGTATCTACACTGTGTCTGTGAAACTTTTTAGTCTCACCATATGACTATGTTGGAGAGCATTCCTCCTTATAAAGATGCTGTGGAATTACAAATGATACAGGGCAACTAGTGTCTCCCAGATAGAGAACACATTCTGGATTTAAAGGTGGTATCTACACTGTACTGAACCTGTCCTAAAGACAAGTCTCAACACATTGGATAATTCCTTAAAAGTCAGTCTAAAATCCAGAGTAGATTCAACCACTGTCTGGGAAGTTCCAGCCACCATGGAATCATCACTACATTGTAAATGTAAAGTAGATGCATCTGCCACCTATGAAAAGTTAGTCAAGATTTAAGTTAAATCCTACTGATTTTATTAAAGCAATTAAACTACTCCACATTCAACTCTGTATGTCAAAAGATGCTTTGTGGAGTGTTGATAGTCTCGTTGCAAATATAAATTGGTTCAATTAACAGTCATCTGCATCATGGAACTGTGATCAAATAACCTGACATAATAACTATGCAAAGGATAGTCTTAACTGTAGTCCAGTAGTATGTTGTTCAGTTGTATGAAGTCTGCCTTACCGGAATGCTTTAAGGTTTTAATTTGTTCTTCAGCATTTTGACACTTTTCTTCTAATTCTTTTTTATCTTCTTCTAAAAGTTCCAACTGTTGTTTCAGTGATTTGATTTCCTTATGCAAGATTTCATTAGCTAGTTGTTCCTCTAATTCTTCAACCTGTAATTGACAAATATACAATGACAGTAAAATCATCAACATCTTAATGTATTGTCGAAGGCTTTCATGGTCAGAATCACTGGGTTGTTGTAAGTTTTTTGGGCATGTTCTGGAACATGGCCATACAGCCCAAAAAACTTACAACAAACCATCATCATCTTATGTTCTATCCACTGATGTTACAAAGGAAGAACTAAATCAAGTCATGGTACTAATTCCTTAAAGGAGCCCCTGGTGTTGCAAGGCTAAGCCCTGGTGCTGGCAGGACTGCTGACTGCCAGGTCAGTGGTTCGAATCCAGGGAGAGTGGATTGAGCTCCCTCTGTCAGCTCCAGCTCCCCATGTGGGGACATGAGAGAAGCCTCCCACAAGGATCCGGGTTTCCTCTGATCCTTGTGGGATCAAGGCATCCCCTGAGCAACTTCCGGGCATCCCCTGAGCAACTTCCTTGCAGAGGGCCAATTCTCTCACACTAGTAGTGACTTGCAGTTTCTCAAGTTTTCTGCAAGCTTGTTTTCTGCTTCCTTGGAGACTAGGACGCGGAACAATGGCTTCAAACTACAAGACAGGAGACTCCATCTGAACACGCGGAAGAACTTCCTGACTGTGAGAGCCGTTCAGCAGTGGAACTCTCTGCCCCGGAGTGTGGTGGAGGCTCCTTCTTTGGAAGCTTTTAAACAGAGGCTGGATGGCCATCTGTCAGGGTTGATTTGAACGCAATATTCCTGCTTCTTGGCAGGGGGTTGGACTGGATGGCCCATGAGGTCTCTTCCAACTCTATGATTCTATGATTCCAAGTCACTTCTGACAAAGAAAAAAAATCCTTAAAGCCCAGAATCTTGACTGTGCTAAAAGTATGGTTTCAATACTTCAGACATTTAGCACTATGCTAAATAATTATTCATTTTGAGCAATACAGTATCAGATCTCTCCCCATATTGCTAGCATTCACTGGTGTCTTAGGTTCCCTTTTTAAACTCTTAGTTTCCAGTCCACTCTGGATCTCATAAACCTACTAAACTAAAACTGTATTTTACTTCATTCTAAATGGACAATCTAGGAATTTTTAATACACACACACACACACACACACACACATATATATTTCTCCATTTAATTTCCATTGACCTTAATAGGCAAAAGGCATCTTAATTTTCTAAAAGAAAAACAAATTATTTTAGAAAATTAAGATGCCTGTTGGCTACTGTATTAAAGTCAATGGCGATTAAGCGGGGAAAGTTATTTTTTTTAAGTCCTGGGTACTTTGTAGAAATACAGCATTTAAAAAGATATATCAATTATAATAAAAACAGTGGATAAAATCCTATAGATATATTATACTTTGAAGCATGGGAAAAATCATCAGATGACAAGTCAACCATTCCCTAAATCCTAACAATTTCCAAACTAGATGTAAACTTTCCAAGATAAAAACAAAGGCCAGATTTTGTTATTCTAATTGTAGCCTCATATCCCAGAATAGCAAGGCAGAAAATCCCACAATATCTACTTTGAACTGGGTTATCTAAGTCCACACTCAATCCACACTCAGATAATATGGGATTTTCTGTCTTGACATTCTGAGATATAGGGCTGTTTGGAAGGGCCCCCAGTCTTCAAAAATAAATCCAAATGGTGAGGATTCAGAGTGGTTTATGGATACATGCAACACATTTCGACACATAAACAGGCAGCAATACTGATGCAAAAGTGACAAGAATTAATATGCAGAACTGTTAAAACTAATATTTGTTGAAGGAAGTGGCATGTAACAGTGAAACTATATATTGTACAGTCTCTGTTATAGTCCTACTGGCACTACCCTGCACCTTCCTGGAAAACTAAGGTCATCTGGAAAATCTCCTATACATTGTTAATTGAAAGGAAGGACAAAAAGGAGAGAGAGAAAATATGGTAAAACCTTTTCTTGCAAGCTTCATAGAAAGTATAAATACAGTTACTTCATCAAAATTGGATTAAGATCCACAAAAGCCCATGCAAAAATTTAAAATCTTAAAGACACTGCCACATTTCTTTTGTTTCCTTCCCTTTCCTTCCTCATTTTTATGCGGTAAGAAACCAACAGGGCTACTTTCTTGAAAATTACCATCGTGGACTGAAAAAAATGTTTGATTGAAATAAAGGCTGGCAAGCTGTGTGGTCTAAAGGTCATTACACTATATAACACGATTTTTGTTCCTGGGTTATAAATGTCATTTCCTAATTTGGTCTATCATAAAAACATGGAAAAAGTTAATTAAACAGCAACTCTAAAAATGGCATATTTTCATTAAGGAAAATTACAAACGAAGTGCCTAGACTGAAGGAAATAACAGTACTACCCTTAGCCAGAAAAACAAAGTTTCTGGAGCATAACAACTACTTTCAAAGTAAGTATCACACAATTAAACAGGAAATAACATTTTCAAACTAGCAACTGAAAAATGTTCAAATATAATCACATAGTGTTTTGTCAACCCCAAACTTCTCCAGGAGCTGTATTAACCCCTTCATGCTAATTTTATTGTCTGAAATAAGTTTATTTGGGGGGGGGGGTAAGGAATGGGAAACAATGCTTTGCTAGAACAAGGAGTAGAAGGGAAAACCATTACTTCTCGAGGTTCCCAGCAATATAAATTCTAACTTTATATCATCCATCCTCAAGAGGCCAAGTGCATGTGACGTTGGGCCACAAGAGCCTTGTCTCTAGTTTAAAGAAAATATTATATGCTTAGAAATCCAGAGATGGAGTAATAATCTGAATAATTTTACATTCCAATACACTGTTTACTGTGTTGGTCACCTATGAGAACACATTTGGTGTGCCAAGTCTTAAACCTGCACCATGATAGTGTTCCAATATGCCTGCATGTTTTTTAAATGAGCAGATTCATCAATTTTTACAACACAGTCCAACACTGGCACAATGACCGTAGATAAAGAGTTGAAAAAAATCGCCTCCTCTGACAGCACCATTTAGTTTGTAATAAAACAACAATGTTGTTTTGTGAGCAATTATTTTGCAAAAACACTTCCATAATTGAAGAGCCCAAATGTTTCAAAGGAGATTTCTTTTTAAAAAAAGGAAGGGCACATTTTCTGACAGGTTTTGTTTTTAACTCTTTCAGGCAATAAGACACTAATGTAAGTTATTAAATGGCTCCTTCTGTTAAAGGTTATTATTCATACACACACTTTCCTCAACCCCTGCTGTTTGCAATGGGTGAATTATAGAATACGCTGAATTGAAGTGCTGAGGCACACTAAAATAAAGACCTCTTTGCCCTTTAATATACACAATTTGGACAAATTTGGAAAGCAATCCTTTCTCAGAAGCTTGCAATTATTCTCAATGTACGTAAACGCAGACAAGTATACACATGGTTTAGAAACAATCACTCAGTTTTCTCCTGCAAATAACACACTTCCTCCAGTATTGTACATTTCTAAAATCCCCATCATGAATGAAAGACAACAGAATTTCAAATAATTATTTATTGGAGGCATACACTGATCACAAGATTCAGCTTGGACCTCAATTTGGGATTTTGGAAGTGGCCTGATTCCGTTTGGGCTGATTTGGAGACAGATTTTGGACAGGCCCAGACCTTTAGCTGACATTCAGGCATATTTGAAGGTTTGTGCTTCCCACTGGTTATGAGTAGGAAAACAGACCATGGCTTTAATACTTTTTATTTATGAAAAGTAAATTGAAAAAGGTTGCACTGTAAGACTTAGGTTTCAGAGACATACCAGTATTAAAGTAAATCTTCTAGGGAGGTCCTGCTCTCAGTCCCACCTCCTTCGCAAGTGCAGTTGGAAGGGACAAGACACAGGACCTTCTCAATGGTGGCCCCTTGCCTATGGAACTCCCTCCACAGCAAAATCAGATCAGCCCCCTCCCTCCTGACCTTCAGAAAGAAATGAAAAATGTGGCTGTAGGACCAAGCTTTTGGGCAGTAATTTTTCAGTGCAATAAGTGAATACGGAATAGTGCAATTATGACTGGAACGGCTTTGGATTATGATTTTGGACTGTGTGGTTTTTAATAATTGGTTTTAATGTTGAGTCGCTTTAATTTTTTGGTTTTAATGTATATGTATATTTTATTTCTATGTATGTTTTTGCGACATCCTATTATTGCCTACTTGTAAGCTGCTCTAAGTTCCCTTTAAGGTGAGAAGGGCAGAGTATAAATGCAATAAATAAATAAATAAATGTCCAATTTTTGGGATGGGGTACAGAAAGCTATTTTTTAGCTTTTGGGGCTTTACTAAAAATGAGGGGGCACAAGTTCTGGGTCGGGGAGGCAATTCTGATGGTGTAATTGTGGTTGCTCTGAGCTCCCAGTGGTGGAGTAAGGTCTACTCCATCTATGCGTGCACCCTTCCCAGGGCAAAAAACCCCCCAAAAAAACGGAGGCAACTGCTTCTTCTTCATCTGAATTATCCTGTTGGCTTTCCTCCCCAATCGGACTCCTTCTGGAGTTGGTCAGCTGCCAGAGTAAAGGAAGGACATGGAATTCCATGAATGGAGCATTTATTTAACAAGGTGGCTTTTGCCTGTTGGAATCACATACAAATATGTGCAGGAATTTGAATAATAATAATAATAATAATAATAATAATAATAATAATAATAATAATAATATAATAATAATAATAATAATAATAATAAATCTTTGTTTATATCCCGCCCCCTCTCCACAAATGGACTCAGGGTGGCTATGCTAGACAACTTTAAATTCTGGTGTATTTATGTTTTTTTTTTCTTGCCAGAATCAGAAGGAAATCAAGTGTACCAAGTTTCAGTTGAAGAAATCCAAAGATTTTTGCACAAGAGAATACTTTTCATCTGAAGAGTGTTTCAAAAAGAGAAAGGGGAATTAATCCCTTTACTTTCCTTCTGAATTATGGTTCTGTAAAACAATAGCCAACGTTATTCTGAAAATTAGACAATGCAGAAGTGGCCATAAATAACACACCTGAAAGATTTCAGAAGGATTGGTTTGTTGAAGGCTTGTATTCGGATTTATTTCCTGTTTTGTACTACTAGTATTGCTTTTTAGAACAGAACAAGCATAGACTCTTGTGAACCACTAAACTTAGCAAATCACATGTTGGATCTTGCCCTGTGCCTGACTCACTACCTATTAAAGTGAGGAGGCTTAATGAATTTATTGTTGAACCACCACACATAGCTACATTACAATCTGTATTTGCCTTTGTGAGTCATAGACTGGGGAGAAGCATTTAAGTTCCAATGCTGTCAGAACTATTATTTTCCATCTTTGGCAGTCAATATGTTGCAGGAGACAGGTTCTCCCTGTATAAAGCAGGGTCTTTTTAGCTTGAAAAGTTACAACACAAATACAGTTGCTTAAATTCAGTAATGGTTACATTTATCGCAGTCCCACTGAAATTAATTGTTCTTTATGGTTTAATGATAAATCTCACTGATTTCCTTGAGATGGGGATAATACTGGATTAAACCAAATATATGGGTGCCGCGGTGGCGCAATGGGTTAAACCATTGTGCTGGCTGAACTGCTGACCAGAAGGTCAGTGGTTCGAATCCACAAGATGGGATGAACTACCATCTGTCAGCTCCAGCTTCCCATGATGGGACATGAGAGAAGCCTCCCACAGGATGGTAACACATCCAGGAATCCCCTAGGCAACATCTCTGCAGACAGCCAATTGTCTCACACCAGAAGTGACTTGCATTTCTCGGATATCTTCTGACATGATTTTAAAAATGGTGTGCAAAAAGGAAAACACAATATGACCACTGAAAACTCTTACCTTCTGCTGATGTTGCAACCTTTCTTCCTCCAGCATTTGGTTCAGCTTGGCATTTTCATCCAGAGCTTTCATGAGCTGTTCATCAGGGACAGCACTTTGCAGCAAAAGTTGACTTTGCCGTTTCAGTTTATTTTGTTCAATAAACATCTGCCAAAAACCAGACATGTTGCCAGTTAGATTATCTGACTGGTATTTCTTGATCTGAATAAACATGACATTGATCACTCAAGTTCTTTTTTTGATCAACCAAAAAGTTCACAGGCAGTGAGTTATCAGGATAGGCATACTAGTCCTTCTGTGTGTGGTTCCCAAATGTGAGTCCTTAGATATTGTTGGGTTTCAGCTCACAGACCCTTGAGTCACCTTGGTTATTGGTTGGGGATTCTAAATCTTCCCAAGAAATGATTTTATAGTAGACTTGAAAGTGCTTAACAACTTATCCAAGAATAATCAGGAATATATATACATGTACAATGTGATTGGATAATGATTTTAGTAATGAGACGCGGAGGATCTATATTTTTACTGCTTTATTATTTATTGAATTTTACTTATGTTAAATGTTTTAATTGTGTTTATGTTATTGCAGGCATTGATTTGTGCCATTTGTAAACCGCCCTGAGTCACCCTTGGGCTGAGAATGGTGGTATATAAATATAGTAAATAAATAAATAAATAGTGTAGTCTGGGAAATCTTCCACACAGCCCTATATCCCAGAATATCAAGGCAGAAAATTCCACAATATCTGCTTTGAACTGGGTTATCTGAGTCCACACTCAGATAATGTGGGATTTCCTGCCTTGATATTCTGGGATATAGGGTGGTGTGGAAGGGACCAGGAATGTCAAACTCATTTCCACTGAGGGTCAAACAAGCTTTATGGTTGTCTTCAAAGGTCTGTTGAGTCCATGGATGAAGAATCTTTGGATACAGAAAGTCAACGATTTTTTTTACACAATGCTCAGTCACTGTTCTTTAGCGTTTACCCAACTTGTGTCCCCAGATGTGACTGAACAACTCCCATCAATTTTTATTATCTGCCATGTGGATTGGAGACAATGGAAATTTGTAACCCAACAACACGTGTGGCCCTCAAGTTTAGGAAAGGTTAAAGGACATTTTAACATCAGACATACCCATAAGCCTTATATCTAAGGGTCCTTCCACGCAGCCATATAAACCAGAAAATCAAGACAGAAAATCCCACAATATATGCTTTGAACTGGATTTTCCTAGTCCACAATGCCATATATTCCAGTTTAAAACAGAAAATGTGGGATTTTATTCAACTGTGCGGAAGGGGCCTAAATTGAAACCCTACTCTCCTGACTAAACAGAAAAAACTGCAGCCTTCAAGATGTTCCTGTTTCACAACTCTAATCAGCTCTAGTCATGATGTCTAATGAAGAGGAATACAGGAATTGTAGTCCAGCATCTGGAGGGTCATGTAAAATGACATGGCAGCCGGTTTGGGCCCACAGGCCTTGCATTTGACACATGTGATGTAGGTAATCAGACATTGAAAGACAAGGTTACATGGAAAAACATTTTCTCATCAGCTTTGTCTATACTGTCATATGATTTCAAATCTTTCAGAGTTTATGGCCAAACAATGGTACCTATGCATGCAAAACCTCCTAGAGAAAAATCCCATACCAACATCCTTTTTTGCACCAAACAGTATAAGGTTGTTTCTTGAATGAATACGAAAGGCATAGTAAAGACTCACTGAAAAATATCACAAGGTGAGAATATTTTGATCGATATGCTAGACACAGAACAGTTATTGCCTATTGTGCATAAAACAGAATATTCTTGTTTATGGAGAGAGAAACACAAATCAATTATTTAAAAATTACTGAGAAATTGATCTGTTCAGCTGCAAAAGAGAGATGCTTCTTAGGATTACTGTATTAGAAGCAGAATGTTCCATTATGTCTTGTCCCAATCCCATGCTGTTTATTTACCAGTTAAAATAATAGCCACAGCACGCTGGCCGATAGTTTCTTACTATTCCTTATATAACTGGATGGCATGTCATTAAACAAAAATGAAATCAGATATCTAGATTTGTATTTATTTATACAAATAACCTGCATGTTACTCTGAACATGCTGTATTCCTGGACCTGTCAACATATGATCACTATTGTCTATTTTTATATAGCTCATCCTGGGCTCAGCAGCAAAGAAAGATAGAACTAGGTTTTGGCAATGCTGCCCTTCTACCTAACTAGATTTCAATGCTATTGCCATAGCCAGTACTGACTGTATCTCAGAACTACAATAATTTCCAAGAGGAGGATTCTCAACCTTTCTACTGAGTTTCACTCTTTCGTTGGCCTGCATCAATAGGAGTATAGTGTCTAGATCCAGGGAAGTAGGCCCGTAGCCAGGATTTCGTTTCGGGGGGGGGGGCTGAGTCTGAGTGAAAGAGGGTCTAGCCTAGCAAACCTTTTGTATCATTACCCCAATACCCCCATTCATATGGGATATATTGAGTATGGTGATCAGATCATGATATGAATAAACGTAACAGTTTATTCATATCATGCACCAGTAAGGCCTAATGCACCAGTAAGGCCTTTTCGCGAACCACCATGAGAATTTCGGGGGGGGGGGGCTGAAGCCCCTCGAGCCCCCCCCCCCCCCAGCTACATGCCTGCAGGGAAGTCATGCTACCCCTCTATTCTGCCTTGGTTAGACCACATCTGGAATATTGTGTCCAATTCTGGGAACCACAATTGAAGGGAGATGTTGACAAGCTGGAATGTGTCCAGAGGAGGGCAACTAAAATGATCAAGGGTCTGGAGAACAAGCTCTATGAGGAACGGCTTCAAGAGCTGGGCATGTTTAGCCCACAGAATAGAAGGCTGAGAGGAGACATGATAGTCGTGTATAAATATGTGAGAGGAAGCCACAGGGAGGAGGGAGCAAGCTTGTTTTCTGCTTCCCTGGAGACTAGGATGCAGAACAATGGCTTCAAACTACAAGAAAGGAGATTTCATCTGAACATGAGGAAGAACTTCCTGACTGTGAGAGCTGTTGAGCAGTGGAACTCTCTACCCCGAGTGTGGTGGAGGGTCCTTCATTGGAGGCTTTTAAGCAGAAGCTGGATGGTCATCTGTCGGGGGAGCTTTGAATGTGATTTTCCCGCTTCTTGGCAGGGGGTTGGACTGAATGGCCCACGAGGCCTCTTCCAACTCTATGATTCTATGACCCGAAACATCCTATTTATAAATAAGTAGGGATGGGGAAATCAGGACAAATAATTCTTCATTTGGGTCTCCTCATTGTCACTTCAGGTGAAACAGCACTTTTTTTTTGTTTCTATGAATGACTAGAAAGTATACTCCAGGGGTGCATCTACATTGTACAGTTAATTTGGTTTGCCATTAGTTTAACTGCTGTGGTAGTAAAGGTAAAGGTTTTCCTCTGACATTAAGTCCAGTCGTGTCCAGCTCTGGGGGTTGATGCTCATCTTCATTTCTAAGCTGGAGAGCTGGTATTATCCATAGACACCTCCAAGGTCATGTGGCTAGCATGATTGCATGGTGCGCCGTTGCCTTCCCACTGGAGCGGTACCTATTGAGCTACTCACATTTGCACATTTTCAAACTGCTAGGCTGGCAGAAGCTGGGGCTAACTGAGGGAGCTCATGCCACTCCCCAGATTCGAACCTGCAACCTTTTGATCAACAAGTTCAGCAGCTCTGAGCTTTAATCCACTGTGCCACCGGTGGTGAAATGCTATGAAATCATGGGAATTGTAGTTTTACAAGGTTCACCCTTTCCACTAAATAATACTGCTGCCTCCATAAACTACAGCTTCCAGAATTCCATGTCGCAGAGGCATGGCAGTTAAAGTGGTATCAAACTGCATTAATTCCACTGTGAAGATGTAGCCTAAGTCAGGAGTAGATAGACATTTGTTTTTATCTACCTTCATGTCAACTTCAATCAATCAGAGGTTTTTGACAAGTTTTAATCAGAATGGGTTTGCCATTGGCTTCTTTTGAGAGTGAAAGAGAGTGATTTGTCCAAGGTCGCCCAGTGGGTTTCCATGGCTTAGAAGATTTGAACATTTGGTGCTAGTCCAATACTCAAACTGTTGCATCTTGTTGGCTCTTGAACAGACTTTAGGTTTATGTAATCTATGCCAATTTCCACTACAACTTTGTTCCACCACCACTAAAATTGTCACTTAATGCAGGGATGCACAATCCATGGCTTCAGGGCCATATTTGATCTTCATATGCTTATCACCTGGTCCTTCTGCTTACTCTGCTGTCATTTCTGAATTCCTAACTACCTTCTCCTCATGTCATTTGGGGTCTATAGTTGCCTTTTCAGTCAGTCAGTCATTCATTCATTCAGTAGCCTTTATTTCAGTCAGCAAACCATCAGCTAGGTCTATAGTTGCATGAAATCAATTAAGGTAATCAGGGTCACTATGAGATAAGAGAAAATAGGGACATCAATGTTAGAATCTCTCCTCAGCCATGGGATCTCATTTTGTGACCCTGGACAAGTTGTACTCTCAGTCTTAGAGGAAAGCAGTGACCACCCCTCTCTGAATACATCTTGGCAAAACCATCTGTGACAGGTTTACCCTACGTCAAAGTTTATATGAAGACCTGTAATAAGCACAACAATCTGTACTCATACATTCTTATTATTCAGAGAAATTTACACCTTCTCCTCTTCCCACCACCAATCTAGAATCCATTAGCACTGCTGCTTCCAAAGATCTAACTGTGGCATGAAAGCAGCAATGCGTGTCATCCTGGATTCATAGGTGAGCCTGGTGCCCCAGGTTTTGGTAGTGACCAGGGTTAAAGTTAAAGCTTGTGCACCAGCTGCGCCCATACCTTGGGAAGTTTGACTTGGGAAGTCCACGCTCTGGTTACATACCGTGTAGACTACTGCAATGCGCTCTACATGGGGTTGCCTTTGAAGACTGTTAGAAAGCTTCAAATGGTCCAGCAGGCGGCAGCCAGGCTACTAACGGGAGCAATGCTCAGGGAACACACAACTCCACTGGCTGTCAGTTTGCTACTGGGCACAATTAAAAGTGCTGGCTTTAGCCTATAAAACCCTAAATGGTTCCGGCCCAGCTTACCTGTCCAAACGTATCTCTCCTTATGG